CATCATAACTAATAAAACGAGCCCAAACTCGGTACATCTAGTTCTCCTCTTCGAGGAGTTCCTGTAGCAGTCATCAAAGTATACTTTTAAGTCACTCAATCAAGTCTGGAGGTAAGGTCTCATCATAACTAACAAAATGAGTTCAAACTCGGCACTTCTAGTTCTACTCGTCGAGGAGTTCCAGTAGCATTTATCAAAATACACTTTCAAGTCACTCTATCAAGTTCAGAGGTAAGGTCTCATCATAACTATCAAAACGAGGCCAAACTCGGCACATCTAGTTCTACCGATGCATTTCTTGAAAAGTTCTCTTTGCTGTAATCGCGTTTAAAAGTATGCATATATTTAAAAAAAAAGTTTTGTTTTTTTTACTAGCCATCTGTGTGTTCGGAAACACCGGCCATTTTTTTCTAATAACTGTAACAAGTCTGGAAGAAAAAGAAATGTAACCTGAAGCCAGATAATGGACGAATTACTGGAGGGTCAGTATGGAAGCACGTTCAGAACTTTGCCTCATTGAGAATAGGTCACTAGCAGCGGCACGATATGTAAATAAAATTTCGGAAGAATTCTAGTGCCGTTTACCTCTTTTATTGGAGATAGATTTGTTTTTATGCATGATAATGCACGCCACCATACTGCGGTCGCTGTTGTTGAAAACCTTCAAAACGTTGAAATAAATGCTAAGGGGTGGTCAGTACGTTCTCCCAACTTAAACCCCAAAAAGGATGTATAAAATAAGCTTGAAAAAACAAATTAAGAAAATAAATCCTGCCCTCGCTAATTTCAGAAATCTTAAAAACGCATTACAGGAAGAATGGAACGCAATCTCTTAGGATTTTATTGATAACTGGATTAGGAGTATACCAAGAAATCTGGAAACAGTTTGAAGAGCTAAAAAGGGCAACGCTAAGTACTGATTATAGTCACCGTTATAGTATTTAGGTTTAAACAAATTTATTTTGTAAAATAATTGCAAAATTTCACTTATAAGACAACTTAAACTGTTTAATAAAATTATGTTGTACAGTGAGTATACATATTTACAAATAACATTATATTTGATTCATTAATAATGCTAAGGTATTATTAAGGGTAATATTTGTTTCTAAACTAAAAAAAAAACTGAAATCATATTTTCTATTATATATATAGCTTAAGCTTATTTTTATATTCATTGTCAGATTCAACATCTTTTATGGCCTTAGGTAATTTATTATACAACTAGCTGTTCTCTACGACTTCGCCCGTGTGTAATTTATGGTTTTAGTTATGTTGTGCGGAACCCTACTTTTTCCTCAAATATAAGTAGCCTAAGTTACTCCTTATAAAATTAGCTATCTGCCAGTGAAATTTCCTTCGAAATCGGTCTAGCCGTTTCGGAGATTAGACGGAACAAACAGACAGACGGACAAAAATTTCAAAAATTGTGTTTTGTTATAAGTATCTATATACTTAATATAAACTTTCATATGCATTTAGTAAAACCTGTTATATAAGACAGTACATTAACATTACAAACAGACACTTTAATTTAATTTATTTGTATAGATTTAGCTCCTGCACACATGAGATTATTATTCCCATATTGGGTTCTGGGAACTGTAGTGTATTTCGTAAATAAGTAAATAAGACACGGGTAAGCGGATTGACGGTTTATTCGTGACTGTTCGACAAGCCTTTTACAATCAATCACTTATATATTTAATGTACCCTCATTACAATCCTCCCCCCTTAATTAAGACTTACAATTAGTTATATATAAGTATTTTATACTATACTGTTATACAGAAAAGGAAAAAAAAATCTTGAAAATATTTTAAAAAAAAAGGTATATAAAAATAATATAGTGCAATGGTAACTACTCTTTATAGCTTGGGGGGGGTTATCCAAACGGCACTTGCGTACCGGCCGGAAGACCTGGGGCGGCGTTGCGGGCGGCACAGGCGACGTATGAGCTGATGGAGCACGAAGTGTTGACGTTTCCCTTGCCGTATCTAAGCAATCACTCTTATCTATTATTTCGGTTCCCTCCGGTGCTTTTGATTTCCTCCCGGTGTCTTTTACGGCAGGGTTTATTCTAGGCGCATTAATTTCCTCTGCACCGGTGCAAGACAACGACTCGGAACTCGAATTTGGCTGACTATTACTACTACGGGGACAAATCAGTGAACTCCTAATTCTACGTTTTAGCTGGTCTATATGCTTATGTGACTCCTTACCTATAGTGTCTAAAACTTTGTAGTCCGTTACGCCCAAACGTTGCGTCACTTGTCCGGCTGTCCACTTGTCACTCCCCTGATATCGGCGAAGCCATACATCCTCACCCGGCTGCAGGCCACGTTCACCAGTGGGAGCGTTCTCTTTCTGGTTTATTTGAGTTTTAATAATTTTATTCTCAATATCCGGTCTAAGTACGTCTAGTTTAGTACGTAATCTTCTTCCTAACATGAGAGAAGCGGGACTTTCGCCCGTAGTACAATGTTCGGTATTTCGATAATGCAATAGGAAAGTGTTTAAAAATAAATTTATATCTTTATTTTCCCTCACTGCCTTTTTAATAACTTTCTTGACAGTGCGGACTGCGTTTTCCGCGGCACCGTTTGAAGCCGGGTGGTACGGTGTGGTGAAAACATGCTGTATCCCATTATTTGTTAAAAACTGAGAAAATTCCCTACTGATAAATGGCGGCCCATTGTCTGATACTAATTGTTTAGGTAGACCCCACCTAGCAAAAACTTCGGAAAGTTTAACTATAGTGTGGCTAGCTGCTGTACTCGGTACATAAAAAACCTCTAGCCATTTAGTTCTGGCATCAATTATTACCAAGTAAATTTTATTGAAAATTGGCCCTAAAAAATCTATGTGTATACGAGACCAAGGCTTAGCCGGCCATGGCCACGGGCTTGGAGTGTGCCGTTGGGGCGCGTCCGCCTCGGCCGCACACACGACGCACGCTCGACACATCGTTTCGATTGCCTCATCGATCCCCGGCCACCACACATAGCTTCGAGCTACCGCCTTCGTTTTGACGATTCCCATGTGGCATTCGTGGAGTTCGTTTAACACCCTACCCCTGCAATTCTCCGGTATGACTACTCTATGACCCCACATGATACACCCTAGTTCTTCGTATAGTTCCTTTTTTCGGTTAAAATACGGTTGCAATGATTTGACCTCATTATCGATGGGCCAATCTTCTCTTAAGTATAGTATAATTCTACCTAAAATCGGATCGCGCTGGGTTTGTTTTTTAATTTCATTATAATCTAGTAACATTTCACTTTGAGCGAAATGTAAATACGTTTGTTCAGGTAAATCTAAACATTCTTTCTTTGTGGATTGAACCGATACTGGTAGACGAGATAAGCCATCCGCACAGTTCTGTTTACTACTAACGTACTCTATGTCATAAGAGTAAGCGGATACCGTAATCGTCCGACGCCGCAATCGGCTCGCAGCCATTAAAGGAATGCCATGTTTTGGGCCAAAAATACTGACAAGCGGCTTGTGATCAGTACGTAAGGTGAACCGTCGACCATACAGGTATTGATGCAATTTTTTTAAGCAAAAAACAATTGCTAAAGCCTCGCGATCAATTTGTGAATAATGTTTCTCCGCGTCGCTGAGAGCTCTCGACACATAGACCACCGGCCGCTCGCTTCCCGCTGCGCCGGCGCACGGCTGAGTGAGCACGCCTCCTATACCTCGAGCGCTCGCGTCACACGTCAGTATTAACGGTTTGTTTTGATCGTAATGCAATAATACTTCCGCACTGGTTAAGACCTTTTTAATTTTTTTAAAAGAGTCCTCGCAACTTCTGTCCCAGTCCCAAGTAACACCCTTTTTTAATAAGCCGTAAAGTGGGGCTAAGGTAGTACTTAAATTTTTAATGAACTTAGCGTAAAAATTGACTAATCCTAAAAATGATCTTAAGTCCGAAACGTCCTTGGGGCGCGGAATTTTTACTATAGCAGCTACCTTGTCAGGATCAACTTTAATGCCATCTTTTGAAATAATATATCCTAAATACTTGACCTCGTCCACCATGAATAAACATTTGTCTTTCCTAAGCTTCATTCCGTTTTTATGTAATCTACTAAGCACCGTCTCCAATATTTGTAAATGCTCTCTTTCATTAGAAGAACCTATTATTATATCGTCTAAAAATACTTCTACCTTTTCGATATCGTGAAAAAGATTTGACATTATACGCTGGAAAATACCTGGACTTGATGACAACCCATATACTAGCCTGTTATACGTAAATAAGCCCCTATGTGTATTTATAACGGTAAGGTTTTTAGAGTTATCTAGTTCGATCTGATTGTAGGCTTGTGACAGATCGATTTTAGAGAATATTTTAGCGCCATTCATACCTACTAACAAATCATTAATCCTAGGCAAGGGAAATCTATCGACCAGCAATACGGGGTTCAGTGTCACTTTATAGTCTGCACAAATTCGGAGCCCTCCATCCGCCTTACGTACCGGCACCAGAGGTGTAGCCCAGTCAGAGCTCTCCACGGGTTCAATAACCCCCTCCCGAAGCATCGCATCCAGCTCAGCATCCACGCGGTCCTTGAGCGCGTAGGGCAAAGGTCGTGCGCGGCAGAACACCGGTGTCGCCCCTTCCCGGACTCGCAGCGTCGCCTTGCCGCCCGCGAACCGCCCCAAGCCGCCGGAAAACAACTTGTTATATCTGTCGAGTAATAATGACAAATTATTGTTACTAAAATGGTCATCCAGCACCATGCTGTGGAATGTCGGAATTTTAATCTGCAGTTCCGACAGCCACTGTCTACCCAACAATGAAGTCGTGCCCCCATCTATTACAAACAGTTCTAAGTGCTTTGTTATATTTCCATTTTTTTTATATTTCCATTGTAATGAGGGTACATTAAATATATAAGTGATTGATTGTAAAAGGCTTGTCGAACAGTCACGAATAAACCGTCAATCCGCTTACCCGTGTCTTATTTACTTATTTACGAAATACACTACAGTTCTAAGTGCTTTGTTATATTTCCATATCTAACTTCGGGCTTGATGATGCCTAAAGGTTTGATTCGACTTCCATCATAAAATTTTAGAACCAGATCGAACTTGTCCATAGGTCTAGTGTAAAAATATTTATTATAAGTCGCTTTACTTATACAAGACACTGCCGACCCGGTATCAATTTCCATATTAAGTTTAAATCCGTCTAATAATAATGTTAGGCTCACCGGTTTATAGCTATTTAAACATAGATGGTGTAGATCCTCCTGTAACTCCGTTTGACTTTCCACGGATGGTGGCTCGTCGTCCGCTGACGGTGTCTCGCACTCTGCCGCCTCCACATGGTACATGTGGCGTCGGGAGCCCGCATTTCCCGTGTACCCCCCTCGTTTGGGACATACCCGGCGTAGATGACCGCTCTGTTTGCATTTACCACACACGAATTTCTTATAGCGGCAATCATCACTTCGGTGGTACCTCGACCCGCACGCGCTACAATATAGCGCATTACCGCCGCCATGTTCTCGACCTTTAAAAGCCCTCGGTGCGCTGTCCTGCTCCCGCGTTCGAGCGCGGCTTGTCGATGACGTCACCGCATGCAAGGCGCTGTCCGCGCCGCTACCGCCGAGCCCGTCGCCGTCACCCGCCTGCTCCACCGCGGCCGAATCCCGCTCCGCCGCCTCTAAAGCGCAAGCTATTCTCACAGCTACGGAATATTTCAGATTATCTTCTGCGAATAATCGTTGACGGATGACATCACTTCTTAGCCCACACACCAATTGATCCCTTAAATTGTCCTCTAGAGTTGAATGAAACTCGCAGTGTTTCGACAATTTCTTAAGTTCGGTTATATACTGCGGAATCGTTTCTCCGCTCAACTGTCTTCTTTGTCGAAAACGATATCGCTCCGCCATGAACGAGGGTTTCGGTTGAAGATGTTCCTGAAGTATTTTTACCACTTCTTGATACGATTTATCTCCCGGTTTAATCGGACTTGTTAAATTACTTAATAATTCGTACGCTTCGTCTCCCATACCGGCGATTAATGTCGGCAACCACATTTCGTTTTTCACTGCATTTACCTTAAGGTACATTTCTAGTCTCTCAACATATAAAGTCCAGTTTCCCGTTTTGACGTTGAATTCACTCACTTTGCCGATCGACATTATATTTAATATGCGTCCACGTAAATTTACCGAAAAAATAAAAACGACTTGATCCTCGTCGCCACTGTAGTGTATTTCGTAAATAAGTAAATAAGACACGGGTAAGCGGATTGACGGTTTATTCGTGACTGTTCGACAAGCCTTTTACAATCAATCACTTATATATTTAATGTACCCTCATTACAGGAACAAGTAAGTATATTATGTTATCGGCATTTCGTAACGTTTTCTTTTGTATTAGATAATTTTTCGGAAAGCGTATTCGACGACTTCGAATTTTACGTATTAAGTGCAAGTTTTAAAAACACAAATTTGGATTAAATTCATTAATTTTATTTCAGAGTAAATTGTTCATCGGTATTAGGTGTTTACAATGAAATAAGTCTTTTATAACTTTACTTCGTGAATTTTGAAGACCCTTGAAGTTGGACGTCGCTGCATTAACTCAAACTTCCATTAAATAATCCATTTTATTATTACAATCGTCTTTAAGGTTTAACAATTTTTTTTGAAAATTTACCGCCACACTAGGATTTTCTGAGGTATCGTCCTCTTTACCCTTCCTTTTGAAAGGGGCGTACTTTCACAATGATTAATTTTAACTATTTGATACCTATTGATTAAATTTGATTCTAATATATTGTATCCAGTAGATGTTACTACAATATTTTTTAGATTATTTAAGAGTAAAGGATGACTTATTGTATCAAAAGCCTTGTTACATGCCCCTACGCAATATTTTTTAAATATATATTATTTATGATTTTAACAACTCGGTCAATTTTAGCTGGTAAGGTATTGCTATGTGACTGAAATCCGTATTGTCTTTCAAAATAAATATTTATAGAGTGAAGATATTTAAACAACTTTTCATAAATTATTCTTTCGAAGATCTTAAAGATGATAGCGATGTCTTTCCTAAGCTTTCATGAAAGAAAAATGAATAAATAAAAAACTATATTATTTACAAAAAAAAATTAGTTAATTGTGTTTAATTTTTTTAACCAATTATAAGCAAAATTTTAATTTATTAATTTTATTGTCACAAATATCCATGATAATTTGTTATTAACACACATTATTTTCTCTAAATTTATCCATGAGTATATCATGAACTTATAGAGGACTACCAGCGACAATACATCCGCAATATTGTTGTTTTATACAAAGAGATATGGCATGTAGTAGATTATCAATAAATTCAGCCCAATAAAGCAAAATTGATGTTGAGCGTTGCGTAAATATCAAGTGGCGCCGAAAAGATTCTCAACTTCTTGCAACTCTCTCGCCCTCCTCTCAACCCGCAAAAGTTTATTTTACTTTTTTTTTATTTATTAATTTAAACTTTTATGCACAAAACAAAAATCGTACAAATGGCGGACTTAATGCCTTAAGGCATTCTCTTTTAGTCAACCACTAGGCTAAGCTAAAGATCACTGCTGGACCTTTAATTGTATCTAAAACCATGTTGTTTTAGACACAATTGTTTGCGTCCACAACATTTCTACGCGAGTGCGTGTTTTTATATTAAGGCTTTAACTAGCCTGAATGACCTTGACGAAACGGCGATCGCATAGATTTTAGCCGACGTCAATACCGTCTAGCAACTACGTTGTGTATTATAAAAGTGCAAAGATTAATAGACTGCAGAGATGACAATTATATAAGTGACATACTGCCTGTTATGCTTGCGCATCATTGAGAATTATGTCGCGGTTACGCATCTTCAATTATATTGCACGGTGTGGTGCTGTAGTTTTGTCCGGTAGGCGTCAGGAGCTATCAAGTGTTCAAGTTTCAAGTACGTAAAAGTTTTTTATTATTAATGTTAAATCGTATTTATTTGTGTCGTATTAGTAGATCTGGTCAAGGCATTCGCTGCAAATTTTTTCCCGGGTTTGATCCCCGACAGTACGAATGAAATTTGTGATTGAAATTTTCGTCAACACGCATTGGGGCAGCGCGGCGGGCATTTCCTTGCCCTAAAACCCTCTCAGAAATAAAAAAAAGAGTCCTGTGGCCAGTAGAGTGACTTGTATAGCCTATTACTTTACTTTGTAGCAATATTCATATTCGTTTCAGATACAGAAGGGTACCTTATGCTGACAAAAATATCATGTGGAGGCGACGAAATCGTAAAACATCTTTGTACCTAGATAAAACGTTCGAGAGATTGTCAGTCATGTCATACACCACATTTTCTATAGAGCGTAGAACATTGCAGATAGGGCAAAATAAAAAATAATACAAAATATTATGGGAACTATTTATTAATAATATAAACATTTATAGGTATTTATAATAAAAATAGTGAACAAGCTGCAAGGTTCAACTAATAATGTTTCTTGTAAACACAATTGTAAAATTTCTGTTTTAATTTTTACCAATGGTTAATTGATGAAACGTAGTTAAGATCACTTCATATAAAATATATTTAATTAAAATTGACACATGACCTATTTGGCCTTCTACTTACAACTCGGCGGAAATTTGAAAAGAAGATTTTGTCTTTTTACACAAGTATTGTTTACAACTGGCGTGGTTTCGAAAAGCGTGATTAAGTATCAGCGGTATATAATCAATTATATACTGAACTTTTTTGAAATTTATTTTTTGTTTATTTTTGTTATATCTTCTTAAAAACTGACGCCATCTCACCATTTTATTATTTGTTTTTTTTTTGTAACGCATAAGGATAAGTTAGACTAAGTTAGATTAACTTGGATAAGTTTGTAATTGTTTTAATTTTATCACAAAATTTCCGTAATAAATAGGTAATTACCTTTTCTACAGTGATTCTCTCCTCTTAGTTTCGGCGTGACTGTAGGATGTTATACTGAGTCACCGTCAGTTACTAAGCGGCCATAAATCATTATATTTATGTATAGACATACATATATACATTTTTTGATTTTAATATTTATGTTTATTTTTATTTTTATTGATTTTTTGAACCCTGGTAAAATTATTTTTTTCCATACTTACATAATTGATGGGCCTGAGTATAATGCCAGTTATGCTCTTTGGCTGAAATTATTTTTTGTTTTATGCTCAATTGCAGACAAAACAATATTGATTGCGCATTTCTAAAACAAAATTTTACCTCTTCTCCTTCTAATAATAGCTCCTGCACCTAACATGGCGGAATAGTTATTATTATCTATAAGACCATTTGCAGAAACAGTTTTTGTTAACAGTTATAAGTGTAACATTTTTATCAGCTGCATTGTTTATAGTGCTTTGAGCAACACTTTGCTGGTTTCTCTACAGAAAATGATGCTGGCTTTGGAAATATGGATGGCCGCTACCATTGAATATAATACCCGCTATGTTACACTTATTTACATAGAAACTTTAATTATCATTTGCATAAAATTCTAAATAGCACTTTTTACACAAGAAAGTAAACTTTTAGATCAGTCCATCTTGTTTTTCTTGAAAAGTAAAACAAAGCAATAGGTACGTGATTTAAAATTTCTTGCAACTTTTTATGGAAAAGCATGACCTTATCATAATATAATAGTCAAGCATTTAGCCATATGATAAAACTTTTAAGTGTGCCAGTCAAACATTAATGATATTCGGGTCATCATATTGGAAATAGTCTTTTAAATATTTTGTAGTACAATTGATAATCTTCAGTATGATTGACCGTGTATATGACTTTTATAAGTCTATGTTATTTTTGATGAAAATTATTATTGCAGATAAAAGGCCTTTCACATTTACTTTAGTCTCAAATTAAATTAATCAAAATGAAAATAAGAACTTTGGCTCTTTATAACTGATCTTTAAATGTAAAACACTGACTTAAAATTATATAATTAACGGCATTTTTTTAAATTCATTGAACTTTTTTAAGATTGTGTTGAAACTCTACTGGTAAATATATATATATATATTATATACCATTTATATATATTATAGTTCTTGATGAAAATAAAGTATGCGCGTTACATCGCATCCCATCAAGAATTTCTAATGTAATTCTTGGTATAAAACTAAGACGTGATAATAACTGTAAACAATAGAATAATAAAATAATGAAAACATTTGTTAACACTTGCTTCATAACCTACTAAATATTATTTGACCGTAATAAAATAAAACAAGGTAGTCTTCGGCATGAAAGTAAAAATGAATATTTTCGATTATTTTTGCAATATCTAACAGTCGGATCAGCGCACGATTCTGATCCATCTAAAGATGCTAAATTTCAGCAAGCACTGTCAAATTCAATAGGAGTGACAGAAAAAACGGTTCTTGATATAGAAGGGTAAATAAATTATTCAACCTATAAAGTAAAATCACTTTATTAATAATCAAAATAGCCCAATAGCTTTATTAACAGGAGACACATAATTGTACGAGTGCTTACAATAATTAACATTATTTTACTGAAATCTCAGAAAGTTTTTTTTTAATAGAATAAGGGCGACAAACGAGCACACAGTCCACCTGATGGTAAGTGGTTGCTACGGCCCATAGACATCTACATCTATTCTCGATTACGTATCAAAATGCAGATGCGTTGTCACCCGTGAGGACTAAGATGTAATGCCTCGTTTCCAGTAAAAAGTTTCTCCGGTTTTCTACACTCACCATACGAAACATATCAGGGTTAAACTGCTATTTTACATAGTATTCTGTGACAGCGTGGCCCTTCCCCGGTCGAGCCAACCCATTCGTGCTACAACTGTACCTACTAATAATATAGCTACAGCATAGCTCTACCACGTAAGAAAAAATAGACGTTAAAAATTTAAGGATTTTCAGAAGCAATTTTGCAATTATTTTCTATTGAGTGAATTTTTGTGGAATCGCGTTTTGCAAACCGCCACCTGAAATACGTACAATTTTTTTCGATAACGACGTGAAATTACAAAACGATCCCCATGCATATCAATGTGGCTCTGTTCAGCCTCTTAATATAAACATACCCCGGGATTCAGAGATTTTAAAAGTTTTCATGCGTAGATAATAGAAGATATAATATTATA